CCAGCCAGCCAGCCCACTGCCTGCCCGGGGCCGCGGCGGAGAGGGCGCGGGACGGGCCGGGAAGGGGGACGGAGCGCGGCGGGCCGGCCGGAGAGCGCTCGCTGGGCCGCCAAGTGCCAACTTTCCCCGGAGCGAGGGAGGGCGCGCACCGTTAGGGCGCGGGGCAGTTAGTGGGAATTTGAGATTGTAGGGAAGGAAGTGTGCTCCCCTCGTCCCCTTGCCCCCGCTACAAATCCCCGTTAAAAAGACAGACACCAGCAGTAACGACAAAACTTGCTCTAATCCGTCTGCCCCGCTCCTGCTGGCACCATGAAGGCGGCCGTCGATCTCAAGCCAACTCTCACCATCATCAAGACGGAGAAAGTCGACTTGGAGCTTTTCCCCTCCCCGGGTGAGTGGTGACTGCGAGGCCCCCGCCCCAGCTCGCGGCCGAGCCCGGTCCCCTCCTCTTTCCCCTTTCGCTGTCCCCTCTCGGAGGTGGTGCAGGAGCGGGTAGCGTTGGCAGCTGGAGAGAGGGCGAGACAGGAGGAGGACTGTTGGTGGCCCGGGGCCCTTGGTTTCGGGGGTATTTATTTTTACAGCTGTGTTTTCGTGGGCAGTGGGAAAAAGCTTATTGAATTTCCAGCAGCCTCATCCCAGCTTTTTCACTTTCCCAATTGAGCGAGGAGCCTCTGGCTTTATTCCTTCATGTTAAGGGGGGTGGATTCTGCCCCAGGGGCCATCGTCGCGGACACGGCGTCCCCGGTCCTGGGCAGGGAGAGGAGACAGCCTGACTGGCCGGCCTCGAAGCAGATTTTCAAACATTGTTTTGCCTCCCCGTACTCCTCTGTCACATGTCGCTTTGCTGGCTAACGCCTCTCTTCTGGATTGAGGGCGAGGCGATGGCAGGATAACTTAGCTTCGGGAAACGTCCTGACCCTATTCGTGCAGGTCACTCACTTCACCCATGTTTTTAATCTGTCATAAATTTGTCCTCTGGTATCAACGTTAGAAGAGAGAAAACACCTCAGTACCAAACATGATTTTGGGTCTTTGGCTGTAGGGGTGGTGTCCAAACTCTTTGATTTGTAAGGACTTGAAGAGGAGAAGGATAGGAGAGAAATTTCATTTTGTCTTAGAGTTTGGCGCTAAGCAGCTTAATGGAGTCCTGTCCTACAGAATTCCTGGAACAAATGCAGTCTGAGAGGGAAAGATGCTTTCTTTTAGGATTTGGGAACTTCCAACCATCCTTACCAAAACCAAACTCTGCCGTCTAGACGATTCCAACTCATAGTGACTCTGTAGGACAGAATAGAACTGCCCCATAGGGTTTCCAAGGAGCAGCTGGTGGATTCGAACTGCTGACCTTTTGGTTAGCAGCCGAACTCTTAATCACTGTGCCACTAAGGGCTCCTCCAGCCGTCCTTAGCTATGGGTGAATTTGAAAGTGAAGAGCTACTGGGAGAAGATGGTGCATTCTGGAAAATAATTCATTCCATCAACATGCTACTCTGCTGTATCTGATTATCAGTACGTAGCTGCGGCTGCTCCCTGTGGTTAACACTTCTTTGCCTCTTCTGCCGTAGTTACTTGCTTGTTTTAATCCTTTATTTTATTTTTGTTATTGTTGAGAATATACACAGCAGAACATACACCAATCTGACAATATCTACATGTTCAGTTCAGTGATGTTGATTACATTCTAGTTGTGCAACCATTCTCACCCTCCTTTTCTGAGTTGGTCCTCCCCTGTTAACATAAACTCACTGACCCCTGAGGTTCCAGTCTGATTTTTCAAGTTGCTGTTGTCAGTTTGATCCCATATAGGTAGTTCTTAAAACAGCATAATGCTTAGGGCAGACATTCTTTATTAGTTAAGCTAAACTATAGTTTGGTTTTATGAAGACTTCAGAGGCTATTTTTGGTTTAAGGTTTATTTTAACCCTCGCTTAAACCGCTTAAACTTTATTGCAAGCCCAGCTGATGTTTTGCCCTTCAGAGATCCTTCAGAAACGTTAACGGGGAGACACTGGCGAGTCCTGTCTCCTGGACGCCTAAGGTTCAGCACCAGCCTTGCTGTGTGTAAGGAAGCTAAGGTTTTTTCTTGTCCCAAGGCTGACAGCAGAACTGTGGAGACATTGCGGCCACTTGTAGCCACAGTTCAGGAATGAGGTCGATATCATGGCTGTGTTTGGGGGTTCAGGGAAGCCAGAATAAGTTCTGTTTGTCACAATTGATTCAAACCATATATAGAAGAAGTCAAAGGATGGTTCCCAGCAAAGATATAAACTCAGCTGGTAGGTTCCTTCCTTACAAATGGCTTGTTTATATGTGTGTTTATGGGGGGAGAGATAGACGTGGTCATCTGGGAAATATCGTGTGGATATGTCAGTTCACACATCTCTGATGGGTCATGCTTGCTGGTAATGAGAAAGCCTGTGGCAACACGTGTTTTAGATCACACTAAGCAGCTGAAGCCATTTTTTTTTTTTTTTGTATTTCAGTATTATTAGAAATTTTAAGTGTATGGTGCTATTCTTATTGATAAAAATACTCCTTGATCAAGTAACTTTCCTTAGTTTTCCCATCTGTAAAATGGGGACAGTAAGGCCTAATGCTACAGTCCACTTCCATTATAATAAGCCCTTCTACAATGGCTTTTTCTTTCCAAAAAGGTTTCCAAGCCACAGATCAGGTTTTGTAAGCAACCTTCAATACAACAAAATTTCAGCTCGTCAAAAAAAATGAGGCAGTCTTCTGCTATTCATTGTAATGGGATTTGATTACTGGTACTATCATGGGAAAAATAGAGAAACTAGAATGTAATCACTAAGTTTCAGTTAATTTTTTTTCTAGAAGTTGAGTAGCTTATATGTGAAAACAGACCGACAAACAATGATCCAGTGTAGAGTTTCCAGGGATCCTTGCAATGTTCAGAAAGGGACATAGAGGCACCGAGGAGGCCAGCCAGTTACCTAGGAATATCCCGTAAGCCAGTGGCTGAAGTAAGCTGAATCCCTGTTTCTAAGTTCTCAGTGTGTGTGTTGTCTTGGGTAATGTTACCAGTCACTTTTGAAAGCTTGGCAAAGAAACTTCAGTTGAGACTTAAGCTGGCAGGTGCAAGAAGGAAGAAAAGTTGGCCGGCGATGGCTGTTGTTTGTTGGTGGGAGGACAGTCTCCTGGCTAAATGGAGGTTTGTTTGGCCCATCAGACCATATAGGGCATATGTTTAAAGTTTAACTTCCCACAGCATGGTTTTGTGCCCACAGCTGTGACTTAAATATTTGTCACAATGATTTCTTTGGGTTGTTTTGTTTCTTATGTGTGAAGACAACTAGTTTGGGATCTTATCTGGCTTAAATGGTTAAACCCGGATTTAGTCCTATGCCCCTACTCCGCCAATACGTGAGAGCCGAAGGAAGGCAGTGTGGAGACCGGGTCAGCACCTGAGTCCAGAGACCTGACTTATTTGCCTGTTTTTGTGACCGGGGCCTTTATTCACCACCCCGTCTATATTGAGACCTCACAGGACCTTTGACAGTTTTAAGTACCAAATTAACATAGATTCTGAAGTAACATTGGAATTGGATTTTCCTTGTAAGTATAATGTGGAGTATACCATTTTGGTCGTGACACTGTGATGAGGTTTTCAGATCTTAAATAGGCTAAAAGCAAGCATAGCCACTGAGTGTCCATCCAGTTCCCTCCTGGTGCAGAGCTTGCTGAGAGCGGTGGAGGCTGGGTGCCAGAGCAAACACCTACATTCCCAAGTTGCTTGATCCGCCCTCTCCTTCCCCGTTCTACCTTCTGGGAGAGGTGAGCTTAGTGCCCAGAGAAGAGCCCACCTTCTGATTCTGGACGTCTGCCTTTTGTAGAAGAACAAAAGCCATCAGCAGCTCTTCCCACTTTTCCCCTGGCCGCCCACCGCAGCAGTGGGAACCCGCATTGACCTGGGAGGAGAAAAGACACTTTGTCTCCTTCCCAGCTCGGTCAGTCTTTGTGTCTTCATCAATGTGGACAAGAAAGGAGGCAGAGACAGTCCAAGGGTCAATGCTTCCCCTGGTCTCGAGCCCAGGCTGTTAGGATCATTGTGCTTGTGGACTCCTGCTGACCGTGTTCCGTTAGCAGCTGAAGAGCTCATAGGTACCATCAGGGACTTGCTGGCCTGCCTGGGTTTGAATCCCAGCTCTGCCACTTACTAGCTGTGTGACTTGGGACAAATTACTTAACCTCTCTGTGTTCCAGTTCCTGCATGGGTAAAAGAAGTGTAGCAATAGTTCTGCCTCATTGAGTTGGTATGAGGATTAAATCATACAATACAGGTAAAGTGCATACAGCAGTGCCTGGTCCCTAATAAATTCTATTTAACAGTTAACTGGAAAACAGACCGACAAAAAAGGATCCAATGTAGAGTTTCTGGGGCTCCATGCAATGTTCAGAAGGGGAGATGACTGTATTATGCCTTTTCCTTGTTTCTTGTTTGAGAGGGAAAGAAGACTAAAGTTAAAGGGAAGTTTTCACCTGCTTTGCTGAGATCTCATGCCCTGAAGCTTTGCTCAGCGCCCTTGACAATGAACGCACAGTGAGCCAGGTACCTGCCAGAGTGTTGGAGCATCTGAGGTCCTGACTGCCACCATAAAGGCACAGGGACGGGTCAGTTATTTTTGGTGTTGGAGGTTGTCAGTGGGACTTCAGAGCTGGAAGGCCACCAAGACTAGGGGCGAAGGGGATGTTTGCAGGGTTGATGGAAAAGCCGAGTTCTCCAGTCCCGTGGGGTTGAGAAGTGCATCGTGGGCCGTTATTATGCGGCATCTCACATGCTGTTTATTTATTTGGTTGGCAGAGCTTGCATTCCTCCCATTGTCAGTTGGTTTGTGTTGCTGTTTTTTGTCTGTGTAACCTTTTTTTTGTCTTAAAGAGGCCAGACCACCCTGTAGGAGCATCCCATCCCTCTAGGAGACAAAGCAACCCGTGGTCAATCTCCTAGAGCCCGGGGTGCTCTGGGCTCCGCCAGACCCTGTGCAAAGCTGAGAGCCGGTTAGTGTAGATCAGGATTTTTCCGGCAAGTCTCCCTCATTGCAGAGAGCGCAGGTAACTCTGCAGTGTTACAGTGACAGTGTAATTGCAGACACCTGTCTGGGTGCTGGAATGAATAACCCCGGGAGAGCCCCATGACCATGGTGGCATCCACCGGCCAGTGCCGAAGGTAGAGTCTTGCCATTCGGGAGTTAGAGGGGTGTTTCTGAGACACGCATCGAACCTGCAAGATATGCTGGGCACTTCCACATAAAACAGCGCTTTCAAGCTGCACACTGATTCTGGGAGAGAGGTGTTATTTTATCCATTTTTCAGCTGAGGAAAATGATGTTCCCAGAGGTGCATAATTTGCCTAAAGACCGCGCTGATACAAACTTACTTACAAACTGCTGAGCCGTCGTGGGCATTTTATACCCAAAACAAAGGTGCTGTGCTGCTCTCAGGAACTGTAGAAATTAAAGCAGAGGCTGATGAGAGGGCAGCTATGGTTGGCGCTCTGAGGGTTCGGGAGGTGAAGGCGCTCCCCGCAGTCCCAGGTGGATTCCTCATAGCTGAATCGGATGGCCTCCTTATGACCTGCGTGTTCGGGCCGCTTGGGGAAGGACCCACCGGGGCTGTACCCGGGCCCGCAACCCAGAGGTGTTGCTTCAGGAGGATGCTTAAAGGTTCGAGCAGGCTTACATGCAGCCGTGAAGCAGAGGACCTGGGGTTCAGGTTTTTCCAATGTCTTCCAGATGCACTTCACTCTGTCACAGGTGGCTAGGAGATTATGTTCCCTTCCAACATCACGTCCTCCTCCGAGCCTCCCAGTCCTGACCCTGCTCCACGGGTAATCTCCCAGCCCGGATGATGAGAGACGGAGATGAGCAGCTAGTTCGCGTTCCTCATTCAGTTGTAGTTGAATTTCCCTCTAAGCAGTGCGTTTGTTGTAGGGTTTGCAAAGAGGTCACAGGTAGCTACGTTTGCTGTTTATGCAGCAAATAAGTTTTTATTTTTCTAAAATTTAGTTTAAGTCCATTTCATGTCTCAGGGCACATCGTTTGGGGTTATCAAGGCACAAGCTAAGGAAGGAGAGCCCTGGAATTTTACCTGTAGACCTGTTAGCCACCCTCAGCTGATAGAGAAAGGCACAGCCGCCTAGCTACTTGTCGTGGCTCCGGTGATGGTTCCTCTATCATTAATTAAGATGCTCGGATCCCTGGAGTGATCAGAGAGGAATTTTTATATTAATGTAGTCCCCATGTTTTTATCTAACTGCTGCGTAATGAAATGTTGGCCTTCTCTCCCTGCTGAGATGGAATCTCTGATAGAATTTCCCTCTGTGTCTGCAGTCCCCTAGGTCTACCTCGTGCCTCCAGCTGTTAAGATTTCTTAACTGAAGATAGGAATGTCAAGGCTATTCCCAAGTCTATCATTTTTACTTGCCATGTGTCTATAGCTACTTCTTGCTTTTTCACTTGGGTTGAAGATATCTTTTACTTTAGGGGATGTTTTTCAACTTGCGTATTGAGGTTTCTGCTTGGCTACTTTTCTGAAGCTCTGTGCCTGTCTGCTTTCCTTTGTTTAATTGTATAGTTTGTATTCTCTGTACAGATACAGAAAGAAATCGGTCTGTAGTGCTAGGTTGTGGTCTAGGTGGTGGTAGATCCAGTTTCATTGGCAGGAAGCCATGCTCACAGCCAATCTCAAAATTTTACTGTTCAGGCAATAAATATTTATTGATTATTTGGCCAACTTCAATCTTTTCCAGGTGCTATCCAGCTTCTGCTGCTTGGATTCAAGCCTGTCACTTGCCACTCCAAATATGGCTTCTTACTGTCCCATCAACATTATTCAAGCGCTTGTTTGCGTAGCATTTGGTTTTGTCTCTAAGAATTGTAAAATATTGACCCAGATAGTGCTTTTAGGCCCAAAGTAACATTGGACGTTTTTTGGCTAACAGATTTCAGGTCTATCAGTGGTTTGTAGATAGGGAGATCCTGTAACTCACCATCCAAACTGGGACACTTTTGAGAGTGTAAAGGGGCACTATTAATTACACCAGGACAACAGACATAAATGGAACTCTCTCAGCAAATGAGGCTACTCAACACAGACACTAAATTTGGAAGATAATACTTTCGGTAAACTCTACTCTCAATTGCTAACCTATAGGGTTTAGACCATCCAAAGTAAGCTAACAGGACCAGAGTTTGAAGCAATTCAAGTTCACTGTGGTTTTCCCCCAACCATGACTTATATTTTTAAGTTTGTTTTTGATGCATAGTTTAATATCTCTCGTGCCTGAGAGACACTTTAGAATCAACCTCAAACATGTTCACTTTAAGCATTTGAAACCTCTTAGTAGCTTTTAGTAGCTATGATAAGCTGTTGAATTTTGCTTTGCAAGATTCTGCGGGTGAGCTGTAAACTGTCTGCATGCAGCGTGTGTGCGTGTGTGTGTGTGTGTGTGTGTGTGCACGCATGAGAAAATGAAATTTTGAATAGGAGAGAAATTGCCATCATTTCATAAGTGAAGGCAATTAAAATATTTGTTTTGTTTTGTTTTGTTTTAATGTTTATCCAAGATGAGAAGTTTTTCTCTTAGGAGCAAAAGAGGCAAAAAAAAAAAAAAAAAGTTTTTTGTACTATTAAAGTGGCTGAAATCAAAAACAAAAGTAAAAAACCAACCCCGCGATTCTTTAGGAGGGCAAGGAGGGAAGAGTGGATTCAGGTGAAACCTCCCTGTTAGCTAAAACATAAGAGAAAGAAAGAAGAAGAATGACGGAAAAGAAGCAAGAAAGTGTGGAAGAACCAATGAGAGAATGAAAGAAAGAACAAAGGAAAGAATGAAAACAGAAATATGAGAATTTAAGTGCTCGTTCATAGACCTGGGAAAGTCCTCATGTGGACCAAGCATTACACTTGGCTAGGAATTCAAGTCTCAATTGCCAGGTGGGTAACCTTGGATCTGTTATTTTCGCTCTTTGTGTGAGCGTTTCCAAGTACGCTTAAACTCCTTGTGGTGTATGGTTGGTCAGAATAACTTAGGTGAAATATTCTGTTGTTTTAGTTATCTAGTGCTGCCATAACAGAAATACCATAAGCGAATGGCTTTAACGAACAGAAATTTATTTTCTCACAGTTTAGGAGGCTAGAAGTCCAAATTCAGGGTGCCGGGTCTAGGGGAAGCCTTTCTTTCGCTGTTGGCTCTGGAGGAAGGTCCTTGTCTCTTCTGAGCTTCTGCTCCTGGGCAACCTTCATGTGGCTTGGCATGTCTCTTCCCCGTCCCTGTTCGCTAGCTTTCATTTAATCTCTTTTATATCTCAAAAGAGATTAACTGAAGATATACCTTACACTGATCCTGCCTCATTAACATAACAAAGACAGTCCATTCCCAAATGTGATTATAACCACAGGCATAGAGGTTAGAATTTATAACACATATTCTTGGAAGACACAATTCAATCTATAACATTCCAGCCTTTGCCCCTCCCCAAAATTTATGTCCTTGTCACATGCAAAACGCATTCACCCCATCACACCATCCCAAAAGTCTTAAATCAACTCCAAGACCAAAATCTCATCTTTTGAATCATCCAAATAAAATATGGGTGAGACTTTGGGCACATTCCATCCTGGGGAAAAATTCCTCTTCATCTGTGAACCTGTGAAATCTAGACTACAGGTTATCTGCTTCCAAAATACAATGGTGGAGCAGGCACAAGGTATACATTTCCATTACAGATGGGAGAAATTGGAGAGAAAGAAGGAATAACGGGCACCAAGCAAGTCCAAAACACAGTGGAACAATTTACATTAGCTCTCAAGGCTTGAAAATAATCCTCTGTTCTCTGAGACCATCTAGGCAATGGCCCTGCCCTCTAGACTCTGGGTGTTGGCCATGCTTCCTGGATTCTGGGTGGAGGGCTCTGGGCTCTGGGCTTCAGTTCTGCCCCACTGGAATGGCAACTCTACTCCCTCAGCTTTGGATGGCCCCATTCTCCTAGTTCATCTGAGTGGCAAACCCACCCCCTTTGCCCCAGCAGACCCTGTTCTTCTGCCCCGTGGGCATGGACCCACCGTCTCAGCTTTGGGCAGTGGCCCCATCCTCTTGGCTAAAGTGGATGGCAGCACCACACTCTGAAACTGCACTGGCGAAAATCTGACTCCTTGAAACCTAAGAGGCCATGGTGGCTCTACCCTTTGAGACCCCAGAGGTGGTGACCCTATCCTTTGAGACCCCAGAAGCTGTAGCCTCATCCTTTGAGATCCAGGAGACCTTGGCCCCACCCATTGAAACTGAGAAGGCCCTGCTTCCCATGCTCCTTCCAACAATTCTGCTGATCTTCGAGCCACTCCAGGGATGGTCCTTTTCTTTTCTTGAAGGACAACAGATGTAGCTCCTTTGGCCTGTTTCCTGCCTATGGAATTCCAAGAGGCAGGCAGTTTTCTTTCCTTTTGTTCTTTCTCTGTCCCCTTCAGTCTAAGCTCATAGATTTTCTGTTGTAGTTGGTTAGATCCATCAGTCACAGGCTTAGTCTCCTTAACAAAAGATTGTGTAGCCATGTCCTTGATGAACATTCAAGGACACATGTCCTTAGTTTGTACGACAGAATTTTCCAAATCTTGAAGTTCCGTTTTCGTTTTGCACAGTTCTTTTTTGCAGCAAGGAGAAACCTCACAGCCCCTTTAAGATCTTGCTTAGGAATCTCATCAGCCAGATATCCAAGTTCATCACTTACAAGTTCTGCCTTCCACCAGACATTTGAACATAATTCAGACAAGGTCTTTGCCACTGCATAAAAAGCATCACCCTTTCCTCCATTGTCTAATCACATGTTCATCATTTTCTTTTAAAGCCTCATCAGAAGCACATATAGTGTCCACATTTCTACAGCGTGTTTTTGCTGGCGCTATGTATTCTCTATGATGATAGAGACTTTCTCTACAGGTCTCCTCACTTCCTTCTGAGCCCTAACAGAATTGCCTTTGACATCCGTAATTCTATCAGCAGTGACTTCAAGGCAATCTAGGCTTTTACTATTAGACATTTTAAGACTCTTCCAGCCTCTACCCATTACCCAATTCCAAAACCACTTCCACATTTTAGGTGTCTGTAAGAGCGGCACCCCACTCTTCGGTACCAAATTCTGTCTTAGTTATCTAGTGCTACTATAACAGAAGTACCACAGGTGGGTGGCTTTAGCAAACAATAATTTGTTTTCTCACAGTTTAGGAGGCTAGAAGTCCAAATTCAGGGTGCTGGCTCTTGGGAAGGCTCTTTTTCTCTGTGAGCTCTGGAGGAAGCTCCTTGTCTCTTCTGAGCTTCTGCTCCTGGGCAATCTTCCTGTGCGTAACATCTCTCTTCCCCCCTCTCTGCCTGCTTGCTTGCTTGTTTGTGTAATTTCTTTTATATCTCCAAAGAGATTGATTCAAGATACACCCTATACTAATCCTGCCTCATTAACATAACAAAGACAACCCATTCCCAAAATGGACTATTGCCACAGGCATAGAGGTTAGGATTTACAACATGTATTTTGGGGGGACACAATTCAGTCCGTAACACCTGTACTCCAGGCACGTCCATGGCAAAAAGTGCAGGAGGGCCAGTGTTTGAATTTATCAAAATATTTGTCCATCAGTGATTATATTTCATGTGCTTGTTGGGCCCTTTCTTCCAACAGTTCAAGTTCAGAATGGTTTCATGGATGAGCTTCATGGAGGACATGAACATCTCAGAAACATTTGAAGGAGGCGTTAGAACAGGGAAAGGATTATTTTAGATATAGAGAGCAGCGTGGGAAGATACCGAATGTTTGAGCAAAAGAAAGGGTTAAGTAAATCTGAAGACAAAAACCAGAATATAGAGAGGGGAGATAGTAGGAAGTATGAGGCCAGGATCTCTTGGAGCACTTTGAATTTCAGGATGAATTTTGCTTTTGAAAGTAGAGGAATTTTAATGAAAGGGCAGTTTTATCGAATAATCTTATGAGAAAGGTGATTTTTTTTTTTGTTTTGTTTTAGCATTCTTTCCCTCCCACTCACACTGTTAGTTGTTAAAACCTCCATGTCAGTTGATCAGAATAAGCGTAAACCTCAGAGGAGATGACAAACTCAATCAAGTGCATATTTTTAAGGTAGAAATGAAAAATAAAGGGCGTGCATGGGTCAGGCAAGAGAATCTCTTAATCCTAGTGCGTGTTGGAGATTTCTGTTTTTTGGAGCACTTAGGAGCTCCTAGCACATGCCAAGTACTATACCTCCCCTCAGTGAATTATGTTTTTATGTGATCACAGTTTTGTGCTAGGGTAATTCATTATTTATCAATCATGTTAAAAGTAAGAATGTGTTGTTAAGTCTGAGTTTAAAATACCCTTCAAATAATTTATCACAGAAAGTTTCGGTGGAAGAGTGGGTGTAATTGACTTTATACTTCTAGTATTTAGACATTTTTCATATCTATTTGATTTTGCTTGCCTAAAATTTAAATTAATTCTTTACATTATATGTAACCAGTAACTAGTTGCTTTGAAGTTGATTCCAGTTCGTAGCAGCCCATGTGTGTCACAGTAGAACTGTGCTTCATAGGGTTTTCAGTGACTGATTTTTTGGAAGTAATTGCCAGACCTTTCTTCTGATTCACCTTTGAGTGGACTTGAACCTCCAACGTTTGGATTAGCAGCTGAGGACTTAACTGTTCACACCACCCAATGACTCCATGTTATGCATAGGTTGAAATATTAAATGCCCAGAATATAATCAGGAATCATGAAGGATAAGAGGAGACCTTTCAGCACAGTAGGAATAAACATTGTGTACCTGATAGGTAGCTTGTACACTCAGGGGAGTCATCACTGCTGGAAAGTCAGGAGGCCTGGATTGTAGCCATGGCTTTGCTACTGAGTGGTTGTGTGACCTTGGGCAAGTCATTTTATTTTGCTGGACCTCATTTTCTTTATCAGTCAAATAAATTAATTGGAGATGATGGTCTATAAGTTTCCTTCCAACACTGACATTCTGTGACTCTGAGTAATATTTAACATAATTAAGGCTTGAAGAGAGCATAGATGAAATGGGGACATTTTCATCCTAATCCCCCAATTCTGTTAGTATCAATTCAGTCATTGAGGAATTTTGGATCCCTTCTTAAGATTAACTTTCAGAGAGCGATGTTAGGGATTGCAACCTGCCCTGCTTAAGGTGGGGAAACTGAGGCGCTTTGTCTCTGGGCTGAAACAAGACCACGAGTCCTGTTTTCCTCTTGATCACCCTCCATGAACAGCTTCTCTTTTCCATCAACCTTTGCTACAGTTGCAGCGGAAAGCAGCTCCTCGCTGGGTCTGGTCTGGAGGAAGCAGATGTAGTTGGAGGCCTGGTAGGTGAGGCAGCCAGCTCCAGCTGCATCCTCTAACCATGTGGTCTGCGTAATGAGCTTAGTTCATCTGAGCTGCCCGGTCTCAGCGCATCGCTCATTGTAAACAGTCCCCTCCTGCAGCAGGAATGCGTCCCGGTGAAGGCCGTCTCAGCGCCGCCGGGTAACCAGCCCCTGAGCCGGGCCTGCCTCCTGTTTGTGCCGAGGGGAGGGCCCAGGCCAGGTGGCTTCTGGCTCCTCACAGAATGGTGCCATGGGCAGCAGCCAGCTGACCCTTCAGCAGGCACAGGCTGCTCAGCGGAGTCAGGAGCAGACAAGATGCCACCAGCTTTGGTTTCTCAAGCACCCAAGAAGCTACAAGTGTGCATTGGGTTGTTGTAAGCACAGGCCACCTTGCTCTCACGGCATGAAGAACCAAGCCTGCACGCAGTTTTTGTCTGAAATTTCATTTTATTGATGTTTTTTCCTATACTTTGAGAACGGTCCACCACAGTGACCGTTTTCTTTCAGAAGCGTGATGCCAAGCCACTAGACAGACTGTTAGTAGGACTACAAGTTAGTTCCTTCTCAAGAAGTG